GAATAGGTAATGAAAAACCAACCACGCTTCGAATCGCTGTGTGTCGGATAATTATCTGTATCACACGGTCTTTAGCTTTTAAGAACTTATTAAATGTTACATAGGTGCGTTATATATATATATATATATGTATATATACGTTATATATCTGTATGTATATATAACATACATATATATACACATGCGTTTCCCGCGTGAAAAACGTGACGTTGCGCTCGTAGACAAAATATTTGAGTAAAATAAACGATTTTTTACTAATTAACTTATTTGAATGCAAGAAGTAAGTAGCAAAAAGTATCATGGGATAGAAAATAGTGGAATAACCGAAAGAAAGTGAGACGGAGGTGAGAAAATATGCCGAGAGTCAATGGAAGCAAGAACGAAAGTGTAAGAAAAAGAATAGAATGCGTGCGCGTTTGCCTGAGTGTGTGTGCGTGCGTGCGTACGTGCGTGCGTACGTGCGTGCGTACGTGCGTGCGTGCGTGCGTGCGTGCGTGCGTGCGTGAAGGAGAGATTGCGAAAAAGAGACGAAACAAGAAGGAGGAGGAAGGATAAACAGGGGGCTTAGGAGATCGAAGTAGAGAAATGGAATTCGAAACGGACGTTGAAAAGACGATAGTCCAATTTACTTAACGCACGATCGCGCGTTGAGTTTGCTTAACCGTACCAGATCCTCAGCCAATACACGAAACCTTAACCGGGCGACCCTTCCAAAAATGTCTCAAACGACGGGAGGAAAGAAAACGATGGTACGAGGCTTGACCGTAACGATCGTACCGGGACAGTCGATTACTCATTTTCAAGAAAATAAAAGAGAGTACAAAAGGAACGGTCGCGTCGGCACTCGAAAGTCAAGCAAGGAAAAAGCACCGAGAGACCGAGAGAGCGAAGAAACGGGAGATTTCTCGCGATCGAAACCAGTCACGGGACTAATCTCGGCCGTGAATCCGGAAACGATCCTCGAACCCGGTGTTGGAACGTAAACGATTCTACGTACCTGGGCCTCCGCGTTTCTTCTTTTTCGAACAACGAGCGGCGAACGTCTCTCCATTGGATCGGTGTATTTGGAGTAAGTCGATCTCGCGAATATACAGTAACGCTCGTTTGCAGGGCGGACACATACACACACACACATGCACACACATACACACATGCATAACACGTACGCGTTACAATTTTCTCGACGGGGAAGAGACGCAGCGATCGAGCTCCTAGCAAATTACTCTTCATACGTCCGATATATAGGAGATCCGAAGGAAACGCGTGCAAAGATTAACGTTGTTTTCGCGCGAATGAACGCTAAGTCGATAGGATAAAATACGAAGAAAACTGCACGGGTTTCTGCTGTGTAGATGACCGATCCTTCTTGTACCGATACGATCCGCGTTGATCGGCTGTCGCGATGCGCGTTTTCTCGATCCTAACGAATTTCTTCGCTCGATGTATATAATCAAACGCAATGATGCAATCGACGTAGTTCAAATGAAATCTCATCTCGACGGAGACGCGTTATTATAAGTTTTATTCTTCGAAGGAGGAACAGAGGACTTTTCTCGGTGGTAATCGCCGGCGTGTCGCTTCCGACCGTGTCCAAGTTGCCACGCGTTAACTTTCGTCCGACATCCTGGCCCGCAGCTATCATCTTTCATTTTCTTCTCGATAAACGGATACGAAGGAGTCGGTAGTTGGAAAAAGTTCGCAGAGGAAACGAGAGTGGAAAGAGAGTCGACGCGAATTTCGGACAAGGATGCAACGGTGGAAACGACACGGATGGTTATCAGTATGCAACGTTATGTGTTCCGCTTAATAGATGGTCGTTTTATACGTAGCAGCACCGTCAGTTGAAACCATAAGCTCGTAGATTAACCTCGCACGACGAGTATCTTTAACGACACGTTTTCGCGTGTTACGCATTCGTAAAGAAAAAATATACACGACACACAGACACGTAGGCACATACATACGCGTACACGCATACCTACGATATCACAAATTTAGTCATCCGAGAACGAATCGATAAAAATTAATCGTGGATTAACCGATGCGTACTTTCGCGTACGTTTAGGAGGAATGAATAAACAAAAGTAATTTCCACATCTATATATACATATATATATTTACATATATATTTATTTTTTTGGTACTCTTTTTGTATATACGTGTCGCCATAGATTAGGTGACGTCTAGGATCCACACGAGGTACGAGATATCCGCGTGAGAGAACAGAGCGAAAACCAGGGACGAGAAGAAGAGTGTACGAGAGAAAAACGAGAAACAGAACGAAAAATCGATTGTCTGTACACACGTGTGTATGAATGCGTGATAGAAAGAAGAAAAGTGCATGAAAGAGAGATAGAGAGAAGAAAAGTGCATGAAAGAGAGATAGAGAGAGAAAGAGAGGGAGAGAGAGAGAGAGAGAGAGAGAGAGAGAGGGTGGGAAAGGCTGAAGAAACGAGCCACGTTAACGACGATCATCTCCGTCCCTTCGTTCACACGAATTATTCACGATGCTCGCATACACGCAACTCAACTGAACGTCGAATCTTGTAAACCGATCGGCTATTACATTAACGTAGGAAAATATTCGTGGCGAGCATTCGTGTTTTACACGTTTATCGATCTCGTTTGGAAAAACGTTGGCGGACACAGAAGGTATTTCGACCGTGTCCTAGATCGGTCGACCGGCGAGAATAGTTGCGATGGAAGCGAATGGACGCGTTTATTTCGAGTAACGATTAACATCGTTCGAACCACGCGGAGAACCTTGTCGAGGTCTGAAAAAACCGAGCGAGATTTTTGTGAACGAAGGGGCGCGGCGAGTGAACGACGAGTAGGAAGGAAGGAGAGAAAATGGGGGAGGGGGAGAAGGGTAAAACAAAAGGACAAAGGAAGGGAAGAGCATTAGTTAGCGTAATTTTGTCGACGCTCGGCACCGTTCTCGCGTGGACGAGGAGCGATGAAACGCGGCGACTCACGCGATTAAGAAGCAAGCGCTGCGATTCACGCGTCTCGGCAGCGTCGCTATCTCACGGATAAATTTATTAAAAACGCATATACCAAACGCAGCGTATAAGCGTGCATATATGACGCGGTGCGTCCAGATGGTTTTCCAATTGCTTCGATGATAAGAGAAACACGTTCGACTCGACGATTCGCTTGCCCCTCCGATTCCGACGCGCGGTGAACGGCCCGCGGAAGAATACGTGGTCGCGTCTCCTCCGTTTGTTCCTTGAGTTTCGGTCGCAGCGCGGTTCGAGAAAACACGCGTGCAATTCGTTTATTTTCGTCGATCGGTAACGATCGTAACGCTGCCTTTCGTTTATCACCGCGTACACCGCGTGCGTATCGTTTCCACGAAAGATCGCTCGGGGATGAAAGTTGGAAACGCGACGTCGGCCGCGTGCGTCTCTGTACGCGTCGAGATTCGGTCGTAAATCGATCGGAGAGATGGAAGAGAGGGCTGGCGAAGAATTTTCGAGGTCGAGAGACGATACCGTTAACGACGGCTTCGAAGGAATGGGAAAACCTTTGATCGCGTTGGCGCGGCTACGAAGCTACCGCGGCTCATATATATACTAGGTGAAAATTTGCATCCCGTAAACGAGCACGAAACGATACGCGTTCGAAAACGATTTCGCGCGCGACCCCGAGCTCGTACACACCGACACACGAAAACGAGACCAACTCTTAGACACACGATCTCGTTCGTGCACGGACACGTTCTCCCCACTAATCGATCGATATAATCGTAGTGAAACTTATCTAGGTACCAATTCACCTAAATCAATTGATAATTAAAACAAAGTATATATATATATATTCATATACATATGATATATATATTAATATATATTATATAGAAAGTAGTATTGTTCCGATACTCGACAGCGAGCCGAGTATTCGGGCGAGAATCGAGATCGAGATTTTTCTAGACAAATTTTTCTAATCGTTGACGAATGCGCGGCGTTCCGCCGTTGAATCGAGCGGGACGTCTCCTTCTATCGATACACTCGCGTTATCATGCCCCGTAAAACAGAAATCTTGGCTCGTTCGCGCGTTTTCACGC